CCCCCCCCCCCCCCCCCCCCCCTCCCCCTTTCGAACTTGGTTGTTATTAGTAGGCAATGAGAAGGCCTTCTACGATATTAGTAGGTAATGAGAAGGCCTTCTACGACAGGGTTAGCCGGATTGTAGACTGCCCTTTATGAAGAGGATGCCCACCTTCGTAAGCATAGCTTTGAGAATTGGAGGTCCTTGTTTGTGGCCCCGACCGGTACTGTACTGTGTGATACAATTGCACATTCACACCTAAAGGTGTGCGCTGGCGCCAGAACAGAACAGAATAGATTGAACGGAGATTACCTGGGATTGCGGTTTGATTTTTCTAACCCTGTGCTTGAATTGTGCAGCTCCAGCGGTGGTGCACAGCTGCGTGTGTGTGTGGTGTGTTTTTGCGATTGATGTGGTTGCCATTGCCAAAAGTCACGAGGTAAGGTATTGTAACGGTGTGTTTAGGTTGTCTCCAACGGTATCGCGATGTACACACACACAGTCCTCGCTCCTTCATTGCTCGGAAAGCTGATCCTTACTAAACTTTCGCAATACAGCACGCGATTGCTGATGTCGAACAGCGTCGCTGCGCCGCATGGCTTCTCTGAAATCGAAACCTCCGCGCCGCACTACGAAAAGTCGAATCGCATTGACTCCATCGTCCAACATTCATCATAAGAGGTGCCTTTCACGTCGTTAACATTATGTCGCGTTTTTTTTTTTCTTACAGGCGGAACGCGGGCGTATGCCGTGGGGCTAGTGGCGGCGGGTCTCGCAATCGACGACTCTAAAACCGGTCTACCGGTGCCCGACACATCGGTTACCTCTAAGCTTGCGCAGATGCTCCCTGCCGCTGTGGCAGACACCCTCACCATCAACGAGGCACGCTTCATTTTGTTTTGGTTTCCTTGTATTTTTGGTTTGGTGGTAGCCTCGTTGTTGCTGTTGTTGTTGTTATTGCTGTTGTTGTTGTTATTGTCATTACGCAACCCTCCCACCCCCCCATTTACCCTTGTACTATGTGACTCTCATCCGTGCAGAAGGGATGCTACGAGTCGCTTGATCTGGTGGACCTACCGGGCGGCACGCCTAAGGTATCTCCGGGATCTCCGACAGACTCTCGAGCTCGCAAGGGTCCGACCAGCAGTGCCATGTTCGACCCGGTGTTTGGTCCGGTGGGTAGGTCTCCGTTGGAGAAGGAGGCTGTCCTCAAAGTGGAGGTGAGACACATGGAGGTTTATCGCGTCGGAGATCGTGTCGTAGACCGTCGTAGATCGCGTGGTAGATGGTCTTGAAGATCGTCGTAGATCGTGTTGCAGATCGTCGTAGATCGTGTTTGGTCCGGTGGGGAGGTCGTCGTTGGGGGCCCGTTGGAGAAGGAGGCTGTCTTCAAGGTGGAGGTTAGACATATGGAGGTGTATCGCGTCGTAGATCGTGTCGTAGATCGTCGAAGATCGTGTTAGTGCTGGGGAGATAGATCACCATTGGAGAAGGAGCCTATCCTCAAAGTGGAAGTGAGACACTTGGAGATGCATCGCGTCGGAGATCGTGTCGGAGATCGTCCGAAATCGTGGCGGAGAAATTGGAGTTGCACGAACGTCTTCGGAGATTGAACGATTGAACGGAAGTCGACCCAGCAACGCACCCCCCCCCCCCCCAACACTTTGGCCCATCCCAAACAAGCCAATCTATCCCTCACCGCTGCACGAAAGCATCTCGTTTATTACTCGTTTATTACGCATACACCATGTCGAAACCATGTTCAACCCGCATTGTTTGATCACGCGTGTGCTCGTACGTCTGTCGTCTGCTCTCTAACACGGGACTGTCGTCTGTCTCACTCCCAAAGCAACGAGCGCGTCTCTCATTCCACGCCCTAACCCTAACCCAGACACCATGTCGAACAAAGACATACTGTAATAGTAATACCCGCATTCCATTCCGCTTGCAATCTCTCGTCTGCTACCCCTACAGGACGATCTATCTCACTCACCGCACCGTACCACACAACAAGACAAGACAGGACAAGAACGTCTCGTTCCATTGTACGCATACGCATACACCATATCGAGAGACATCCTTAATAGTACCCGCGTTTATTTATTTATTTACTTGCGCGTGCATGCTCTCACCCTCTCGTCTGCCCCCCCCCCTACAGGACTACCTCAAGCTGTCCCTGGCGGGGGCCGCCTGCAACGCCCTGGTCCGCTTCTTCCTGCACCCCGTGGACTGCGTTAAGACCACGGTGCAGGCCGAGATGGGACGGGAGGTCCGCAGCGACGAGAACGGTATGGAGGGGGGGGGCGGCGGCGAGGGTTGGATCGGCACCGTGAAGGGCATCCTGAAGAAGGGAGGAGTGGGCGAGCTAACCCGGGGCATCGACGTTTCTACGGTGTGTGGGCGTTTTCTCGTCTTTTTTAGAAAATTTCATCTTGTACAATTATTTATATATACCTTCGAACTAATAACTAGGTTTTAACTGAACACTGTACCTGTACTGTACCTGTCATTTGGCGGAGTTTTCTTCTACGGTACACATGAATGTTCATTTTTTTAGGCTCAATTTTCTCGAAACACAGCATCAAAAGTGGTGGGTAGCGCGTACTGCTATCATATGCATACAATACTCACGTGCATCTTACCTCCGCGTGTCGGATTTTTTCTATTTTTTTGTAAGATCTTGGGCTTCATGCTTGGCTTCATCGGATTTGGAGGCACGGAGCTATTTAGGCGAGAGCTGACTCGCATGATGGAGATGATGCCAGCAGGCAGTGGCACTGGAAGTCCGGTAAGTAACGAAATACTGCTAGTAGTGCATACCTGTTCGTAGAATATTATTTCCTGGAAAATGAATGATAAGTAGATCATGATACGATGATGTTCTAGATGGGAAGCTGGTGCCCAAAGATACGTACTTTGCATCTTGATATGGTGATGTTGTATGTTGGCTACGGACATGGTATCTATATTGCTGTTGAATTTTTTGGTGGTGGGGGAAGACCTATTCTTCGCTCAGAAAACAGAAAATGCACCCACAAACACACTGAAAAGTGTGGTACACGTCTCACCACGAAAAATGGGTGGACTGCTGTCGCCTATAATAAATAGGAAAAAAACACACCCACAACACCCACATGTACATACAGTAGCAATTTGTTTCGATGTTTTTCATGCTCCATGACGTACTTCCGTCAATTGGCGTGACAAATGGCACGACGTGAAACATTGGCACGACGTGAAACATTGGCATGACGTGAGACATTGCACGACGTGACGCATGGAAGGACGTGGCACATGGTATGACGTGACACATGACATGACGTGAGACATGGCATGACGTGACACATGGCATGATGTGAGACATGGCATGATGTGAGACATGGCACGACGTGAAACATTGGCATGACGTGAGACATTGCACGACGTGACACATGGAATGACGTGGCACATGGTATGACGTGACACATGGCATGATGTGAGACATGGCATGACGTCACACATGGATGTCATGACGTCACACGTGAGCAGGTGTGGGTGATCCTTCTCGCGAGCGCGCTAGCCCAGGTGGTGTCGGCCATCATCACCTGTCCCGTGGAATCTGTCCGCATCCGAGTCATGACGTGCGACCGTAGACCTGAGTTTCTTTCCTTCATCGGTAAGGCTCAGGAGATGATCGAACAGGAAGGGTTGCTCTACTTCTGGTCCGGCCTGGGGACGTTACTTTCCCGAGAGCTGCCTTTCGGCATCGCCAAGGTGCGGCGCCCGTTGTAGTTGCTGATGTTGCTGATGTTGTTGTTGTTGGTGCTGCTGCTGCTGCTGCTGCTGCTGGTGGTGCTGGTGTTGTCGTTGGTGGTGGTGGTGGTATTGATTTAATTTTGATCCCCGCCCCACCTTTGCTATTCTCTTTCATTCTTCATTCATCAATTTTTCGAAGAACCTTTTGTCGTTTGTTTTCGTGGCGTTCCCCCCACCCCCAATATTGTGTAACCGTCCTCCTTTCTCTTTTCTGTTTTTTTTTTCTTTCAGTTTTTGACGTTCGAGGTGGTCCGGGACAAGATCTTCCAAGAGGTGCCGGCTGCCCAAGAAAGCGTCTTCTACGCTCTGGTGGTGAGTTAAACCAGTACCATTCCACTTACCATACCATACCATATCATACGGTATCATATCATATCATATCATATCATATCATATCATATCATATCATATCATATCATATCATATCATACCATACCATACCATACCATATCATATCATACATCATACCATACCACACCACACCAGTTGCCTTGCCGCGGCAAGAAACGCGGCGAAACCGTACACACCAAGCGACTTCCCTGGGCAATCAAACCACCACAACCCAACAATGAGCAAGCCCTCACCCCCCCCCCCCCA